ATACAGTTTGTAACCAATATAAGTCTCTGTGTTTACTTGGTCAGGTCTGAGCGGCCGTGGGACTGGCAGGTGAGAGAGATTTGTCCTGACTGTGGGCCCGGCAGGAAAATTCTAGCTACACAGTTCCCTGGATGACACTGGGTGGCGGGGGAAAGTGAGGCATCCCAGCATGCACTGCCCCGGCAGCCCCAGGTTGGACCTCTTCTAGCCCTCCCAGGGACATGGAGACTTTCCTGTGCCTCCCTAGCAAAGGCCCTTCTGTGCTGGGCCATCTGCCTCCACCCGGACTCTGTCACACTTTATCCAGGGGACCTTGGGAAAGTCACTTCACATTTTGAAGCCTCCACCTCTGTTAAGTGGACGGGGTGACCAATCAAATCTCACCGATGGACTGAAGCCAGAGCCAGTGCAGAGAGAGCAACTGAGGTCACTCCATTTGCCTCTCTTTCTAGCCCCCCCCAGGCCTCCCTCTCAGGGGCTCTAAACATCCACCTTCATCACCCAGCCTGGCTTCATCTGCACCCACAGACTACCCACCTGAGGAAGCAGGATGCCCAGTAAGAGACCCGCCATGATGGTGTAGTTGTCCATGAACCATATCAGCACGGCATTGGTGCAGCCCCGGACATAAATGATGTTCTGTGCATTCAGGCGCTGTTCGGGAGGAGGGTGTCAGCACGGGGGTGGGGGTGGGGTGTGGGGGGGTGGATCTGGGTTTTCCAGTACTGTTCCTGGGACAGCACTGAGGGCAGTGTGGCAGCACTTTGGTGGTCAGAACGTCTGGGAACTGGAGGATGCCAGAGTATGCCCATGTGCCTCTCAGGTGCCACCCAGCACTGCACGCTCTTACCAGAGCCAACAGCCAACTCCAGGTATATGTGGGAAAGCATCAACAAAATCCCACAACTAGGCAGAGCCAGGCGGATCTCTGTGAGTTCGAGGCCAGCCTGGTCTCCAAAGCGAGTTCCAGGAAAGGCGCAAAGCTACACAGAGAAACCCTGTCTCGAAAAACCAAAAAAAAAAAAAAAAAAAAAAAAAAAAAAAAAAAAAAAAAAAATCCCACAACTACACTGTTTTAATGGGTAGTGAAGCTTCCAGAATTACTATGTTAGATTTTTCCACAAGTGAAACATCCATGAAACTTGGCTTCATGCCCAAAATTATTAAAAACGTCATTTGGGGGGTGTGGCTGCTGGCAGGCTACCCATGTTCCAGAGGATTCCCCCACCCTCATGTATATATGGGCAGAACTAATTAGACCCAGTGGGTTATTGAAAAAAGAAAGAAAAAGGACTGGGCATGGTGGTATACACCTCTAATCCTAGCACTCACTCGGGAGGCAGAAGCAGGAGAATCTCTGTGAGTTTAAGGCCAACCTAATCTCTATATATGAAGTTCCACATCACATTTTGAAGCTTTGGGGGCTCCATAGGGAGACCCACCACCCCAGCACCGCCCCAGCTTCCTGGGGATCTGTCCAGAAAGCTGATGCAGGGGGATATCCAGGAAGGACTTGCTCTTCCCCAGGGACTCCTGGGTGCCAGGCAGTGTGAGCTGTCAACACACTATAGGGCTGGGCAGGCAGCATGTGAGGGGCCCTGGGAGGGATCACACAGATAAGCCTGCCTGGAGTAAGGATTCAGCAAACCTGGGCAGGTGGCCTCCCCCAGCTCCCTGGGCCCTTCTGTGACTGAAGACCAGGGAGCGCTGGGAAACATGAGCAACCAGAAGCCCTCCGCTAGAAGCCCTCCATCAATCACCTGGGGAGTGGGACAAGAGGGGCGCCGTTTCTGGGGACAAAGGGTTCCCAAGCCATTACCTCCTTGTCAATTGTTTTGTAGCCGCACATGGTGTTGACGACATCTGTCTGAAACAGAAACATATCACAAGCCATGACTCTACAGGCTACAATCTGAAGGACACGCCCTTTGCAGATGAGAGAGCCAAGGGGTGGGTGTACAGTCTGGTGTGGACAGAGCTGAGATTTCCCACCTCCAGCAGCAGGCTGGAGCCTGCTTCATAGCTACCTCTCCCAAGAAATGCCCAGTGGAGAACTAAGCACAGACGCACCGCCACCCCACCCCCCCGCCCCCTGCTTCCTGGGGGTGCTTGTGGGAGATCTCCCCTCCACCAGCAGCAGTCTAAGTTCTCAGCTGGAAGCACCCTGAGGCACCCCCTTGCTGACCCATCTGTACTTCTCAGTCTCAAGCCACGCTGCTCTCGTTTTACTGGCTCTCAGAAAGGAACTTCTCAAACCACAACTGGGCCCCTGCCAGTGGTGGTTTACCTGAGGGCAAGGCTGGGCCACTGGCCACGCTTCCCTGACCTTTCAACGGTGGCTTCATTCACCACCAAGGAGCCACGGAAGTTCTTCTCTGAAAAAGAGGGCGGCTCTCCAGGGCTCCCTGCTGACTGACTTACACATGGGAACCCTATGGCCGGACTCTAGCCCCCATCCAATTCCTTCCCAAGTAGGCCCCCTACACTCCCCATCATTGCCTGTGCCCTGTTTGGTCGTATCTTCAGCCATAAGGGGAGAGGCAGAGTCCCAGGTCCAGCCTGAATCCAGCTTGAGTCCCTGCATACATAAGTGAGGCCTCTGCTCGGCCAGAGAGCCCCTGGCGCCAGGGACAAGGCAGGTGAGCAGCCGAGTAGCCAGCATGGCCTCTGGCATCGCTTCTGAGATCCAACCCCCAAGAGGATGAAGAGGAGGCAGCACTTGACAGATACAGGGGTGGGGTGGGGGAGTGGATGTGCAGTTCTCCCAGCCGATTCTGGAAAGTCAGGGACTGTGACCTGTGAACCCGCCCCATGTGCTGTGTGTGTGTGTGTCACATATGAGACACACAGGAGGTAAAGTGCTGTCACAGTGACAAGTGTATGAATGGGCTCTGGCCAGGGTGACACTGCTTGAGACCCCGGCCCCGGAAGTCACCAGGTCATTCTAAGTGGCAGGGTTTGGCGCGTGCATAAAATAACCTTTCTCAGTTAAGACACTCCCCTTGGATGCCCTCAGACCCAGCAGTGCCCAGCGCTCACATGGCACTGACCCCTACAGGCAGGTCCAGCCGTTCACTCGTTGAACAAACGTTAATCAGCATTTGTTGGATATCAGTCACCGTTTTAGGGACTTGAGGCACAGAGGACAAAAGGAAGCCCCGCCTCAGCACTGGTAGCCTAGAGAGAAGGCGATGAACTAGAAAATGACGTAGCTGAGAAGGAGGAACCAAGAGAGACCTCAGTGGGCAGCTGGAGGCGGGACTCCAGGACACCTAGAGGACATGGTAGTGTGAGGGCCTGACTCCCCTGCCTCAGCACGAGTCAACTTGGAAGGATCATATGTATAGATTTAGCTGAGACTCCCACCCAAACGGCACCGAACCTCCGCCAGTGCCCACCCACCCTCCCACCCTGCGTGAGTTTCTGTGTGCACCGCAGCCTGCCCTCCAGCACTGGTGGATCCCTCAGAACCTCCTGCTACACCTGCTGCTTGCTGCTAGCACCTCAGGCCTGACTTCTGTCACTCAGGAGGACACCAGCCCCCACCTGTGGTCTTCAGGGTACCACCTTGAATCTCCCCTAACCCCTGCTGATCTCGGCCTGCTCCAGCCACAGAGGCCTTCCTGCTGTTTCTCAAACACACCAGGGCAATCCCCACCCCAGGACCTTTGCATTGGACACTCCCTCTGCCAGGAATCCCCCTCTCCCCAGACACCTGTGTAATTTCCTGCTTCAGGGTTGTCCTCCTAATCCATCTCTGTATCTAATCCATACCGGGTTTTCCTCATAATCCAGGCAGTTTCCCTCACTATGCCATTTCCATTTGGGCAGAGACTTCTATATGTGTGCCTGCAATCCCTCCAGAGTCTAGCAATATGTCTTCCACACAGTAGGTCTTCAATCAATGATTGCTGAAAATGAATGAATGAATGAACAAATGAAGGAAGACACATTGAGCTTCTATAATTCATCTTGGGCACCCAAAGTGCACCCAGGGGTGATGAATTCAGGCTCACCTTCTGCATTTCTCTGCAGACCCTGGGAACCTTTCACAGCACTCACCTGACTCAGAGGTCCCCGCCCCCACTAAAACAGCAGCGGGGGGGGGGGGGGGGGTTGTTCCAAAGTCCCTCAGCCCCGCCTCTCACTGGGTAAGTTCATTTGGCACTGTTCCAGACTTTGGGTGAGGCCCCACCCACAGCCACTCCATTGCCATGGTTACAGGCTGGGGTGATAGGCACAGCTGTTGAAACCATCAACAAGAGACTTTGCATGGGGAGTATGGGGGTGGGGTGGGGGAGTTAACTGTCAGGCTTTTCTTTTCTGCTCTAGTCTAGAAACCGGGCAGTTTCTGACATACTTGTCACACACATCAGGACGTGTGTGAGCGGTGACGGCACAGCTCGGCATCCCAGATGACTGGGGAAGTGACAGCTGAGAGGCTCCCGCTGGGGCAAGGTGGAGGCTGGCATTTACATCACCGTCCCTTCTGGCCACAGCTCGGCCGGTGCTCACCACGCCTGCACAGCGCTCTGCCTGCAGGGTGGAGCTGGCTGCCCCTGCTGAGCGCCTGGCCCTCTGTTAGCCTGACACAGCTGCATCCCATCTCAGCCCTGCCAACCTTGGGCAAGCCTTCTAAAGGGGGTAGAGTAACAGCACCCATCCACCCCCCCCCCCGGCCTCCCCAAGGCTGTTGTAAGGGCCGAGGGAATACAAAGACGTGGGCCACGCCCACACATGCACGTGCTCAAGAGATGTTCACTGACACACTCACAGAGGAGGCTGCCCACCTAGCTCCCCTTTGCCAGAGCCGACCACCACCTCCGGCCCACTCCCACGGCCCGCTCCACATGGGCAGAATGGGCGATCCCGCGCCCAGCCCCACGCCACCGCGGTTACCGTGTTCCGGATGCAGCAGGTGTAGGGCACCCCGCAGGCCAGGGGCCCGGGGGCGCTGCAGTCGTGGTACTGGTTTTTGCTCCAGTCCCTGTAATCCTCTCCGCCACAGCACTTAAACTGAGGAGGAAAACACAAAGAAAGATCCGCAGTCATTGCCAAGGCCAGGGTCAGAGGCAGGAAGCTCCGGCTAAGAGGATGCTGATGAGGTGGGTGTCGGTGTGGGAGGGAAGTACCAGGGTGGGGGTGGGAGTACTGGGGGTGGGGTGGGAGTGCCAGGGTGGGGGAGGGAGTGCCGGGATGGGGGAGGGAGTGCCAGGGTGGGGGAGGGAGTGCCAGGGCCTCATGAAGTCATACTCTGTTAGGCCAGAGCTGTCAAGAAGTGGCATGGCCATCCAAAAGGGGGTAAGCTCTCCACCCAGAAGAGACATGCAAGGCAAGGCTGGACTCCTTCAACTGGACACGAGGTAGTGACTAGACACTAAAAGGAAGTCTGTCCCTGGCAACTGGTCTGTATCTTCTCCTTCATCATCAAGCCCCCGGGGGTAGGGGTCTAGCTGGAGAAGCAGCCTCAGAGGCCAGCCAGGGGAAGCTCTGCTCCATCCTGACCTTGGAAACCTGAATAAACTACCCTAGGCTCTCCCCTTAGCCTCCCCCTCCCACCTCTCCCTTCTGTGCCAGGGCCAGCTTGGGGGTGGGGGTGGTGGCAGAGAACAGTTGTACAGAGGGACTAGCTGGATGGCTTCCTCCTGGGCTCTGCACAGACAGACCTATTGGCCAAATGATGAGAGCCACAGCCAAGCATGCGGGCATGCCTGGAATCCCAGCAGGAGGAATGGTACAAGTTTGAAGCCAACCTGGGCTACATAGTGAGTTCTAGGACAGCCTCGGCTACAGTATAAGACCCTCAAAAACAAAAACAAACACAAACAAACAAAAAGAACTATACCAAAACCACCTAGAGGAGAGGGTGACCAGTAAGGGATGCTGTATACCTGGGCACAGGGAAGTGGGGGGAGGGGTGGCTTTATGTTGGGAGGACAGGAAAGGCTGCTCAAAGGAGAGGACATTTCATCTGAAACATGAACAAGGGAAAGACAGTGAACATGTATGTGCAAAGGCCCTGTGCAGAAGCGAGGCTGTTCTTCAGCAGCAGGTGGAAACGCCAGTGAGCAGAGGGAATGAGGTTCAGGGAACAGAAGCCAAATGTGAAGAGACCCACCAGGCAGAGCAAACAGGGGTCTGGGACTGTGTTCCAGGAGTGGGGAGCTGAAGGACCATGTCGGGGTCTGGACTGTGTTCCAGGAGTGGGGAGCTGAAGGACCATGTCGGGGTCTGGACTGTGTTCCAGGAGTGGGGAGCTGAAGGACCGTGTGGTAGGAGCACAGGTAGACACCACTGGGCCCCCTTCTGAAGTCTCCACAGTGCCCTGTCAGCCACCAGGACTTCCTTGGGATCCACAAATGCCTATGTGCAATGTTGTATAGGGGACATTTATTCTGCTGCTGGACAGATACACATTCAAATCCTCACATCACCACTCCAGAAGAGTGACCATAGGCAAGGTGCTCAGCCTCTCTGGGCCTCAGAAGCTTGTCTGCTAAAAAGAGCAATGCCAGCTCTGTATGGCTGAACCGGACTGTAAGAGAGTCTCCGCAGGGAGCATTCTGCACCAGGCCCAGTGAGCATTAGTCACCTCCTACCCCCACCTAAGGAGAAATTAAATCTCCGAGCCAGCTAAAGGCTGGTTCCAACAAAAGCATCTACCAGGCTCTCCCAGTCTGGGCTGGCAGGAAACACTCTCCCAGAAGCTGCACCTGTTTCTCCTACAGAGGAGCACAGAGCCAAAGGCCTGGGGTGTGGTGAGGCTGGGCCTCCGCTGAAGACTCACACAAGGGACCAGGAACACTCAACTGCCAGGTGTGGGGGGCCTGTGACCCTCCAATATCACTGTCCCCTGCTGTGGGATGGCCTTTCTGTATGCTGTGAATATGTGTTGCTACCATTGGTTAATAAAGAAGTTGCTTTGGCCTATGGTAAGACAGGTTATAGGCAGGTGGGAAATCCAAGAGAGATATAGGAAGAAGAAAGGTAGGGTTGAGACAAACACTGAGGCCGCTAGGGGAACAAGATATAATGGAACACAGGGAAAGCAACAAGACACGTAGCGATACATAGAATAATAGAAATGGATTAATTTAAGATGAAAGAGCTAGTTAATAATAAGCCTGAGCCAAAGACCAAACAGTTTGTAATTAATATAAACCTCTGTGTGTTTATTTGGGACCGAGCAGCTGCATGACACAGGAAAACTTCCATCTAAAATTGGCGCCCAACATGGGGCAAGAATTTCCACATAAAACCTGAGAGCTTAAAAAAAAAAAAAAGTTCTAAAACAAAGAGCCAAAAGCAGCTTTCTAGTTCAGGTCTCATTACAGACCCGGTACAGAGACAGGTCCCCTGGCCTCAGTAGGCTTCAGCAGCAACAGCTCGGACTCCCACAGTCTCTCATGGGCCTCGATACAAAGAGGTTTCTCCTAGCCACTGTCTGCGGGCTTGGAAACACAGCCACAGGCTTAAAAACACAGGCATGCTACTTAATAGTGCGTCCCAGAATCAGGCAGGTAAGCGTGACTCGTTGGTACCTGCGCCATGTTGAAAAACCGAGCAGGGCAGAGCCAGCAGCCAGGGCTGCCACAATGAATGAGGGTGACCCCACTACACTGGCTCTGCTCTAAGCATGTCAGAAAGAAGCCGAGGGAGTCCCAGTCACAGCCAGGGGAGAGACCAGAATTGGCCCCATGGTGCAGACAAGAAACCTGCTCCTCAGGACAAAGAGGGAGGCAGGCAAGCCCCAGGAAAGGGTGGCCCTGATGCAGCTGTGACTGTTGCACCCACATACTGGGCTGGGCCTCGGGGAGAGGGACAGTGTGTCCCGAGAGGACACACAATCATCATCACATTCAATTATGTGTCAGAGTGATGGGAGGGGTCTTGTCCTGTGTCCAACGGAGGAAGCTGGGATTAGGAGAGTTTTCTCCCCACCTTTGATGAAGGGAGCTCTCCACACTAGAGGGTCTGGGTCTGGTAGGCTGGACACTGAGGGAAGGTCAGCCAGTCCTGAGAGAAGGAGATCCCTGTCACCCAGGGGGGCAAGGTCCTGGGGCCCTGCAAAGTGGCCAGAGTGACATCTGGCCTTGTGAGTTGTTTCCCCATGTTTGAAGGGCCATCCCTAGGCCAGCCACCTGCATTGGGAATGGACAGGTCACCTGGCCCTTCACCCCACTCTCTGGAACAGAGGCTCAGATCTGGGGCAAAGGTCCTGGCAGTACCCCTCTGAACCCACGCTCCCCATGTCACCTTCTTCTGAACAAAGTCCATGATGTTCTTGAAGTCCAGGTCATCGTAGTAGTTCTCAATTCCTCTCCGAATGTTGTCATTCAGAAAGTCAATGGTCTATACAGAAGGAAAAGGAGCACACATCAGAGGCTAGGTCCAGATCATTCTAGAAGTCCAGGTTAGGACAGAGGTGTGCCCAACAGTTCCCACCTACTTGAGTAGAAGTTCCCCTCCACTCCCTACCCTGAACACCTGAGACTGTCCAGCCCACAGATATTCCCCAGGCTTTCAAGGCCCAGGTCTTAAGAGGCCAGCCTGCCATGTGGTGATACTGTGTTCCCCAAAATATTGTGCACCCTAATAAACTTATCTGGGGTCAGAGAACAGAACAGCCACTAGATACAGAGGCCAGAAAATGGTAGCACACACGCCTTTAATCCTATCACTTGGGAGGCAGAGATCCATCCGGATCTCTGTGAGTTCAAGGCCACACTGGAAACAGCCAGGAATGGTGACTCATGCCTTTAATCCCAGGAAGTGATGGCAGAAAGCAGAAAGGTACATAAGGCCTGAGAACCAGGAACTAGAGCTGGTTAAGCTTTCGGGCTTTTAAGAAGCAGTTCAGCTGAGATCCATTTGGATGAGGACTCAGAGACCTCCAGTCTGAGGAAACAGGATCAGCTGAGGAATCGGCAAGATGAGGTGGCTGTGGCTTATTCTGCTTCTCTGATCTTCCAGCGTTCACCCCAATACCTGGCTCTGGGTTTGTTTTTATTAATAAGACCTTTTAAAATTCCTGCTACACTGCCAGGCTCCAGCTCTGAAGCAGCGTGCTGGGCCTCAACTCTCCTGATTGCCGGCATGCATTCTCTCCCCTGCCCAGCAACAGGCCTGAGCCGGAATCTTCCTTTGGTTCTCCTCACTCTCATCACCCAACCTCTTCTTGCTTTACCAAAAAGGAAACTGAGACCCCAGGGGAAGAGGACTATGGGGCTGGGAGAAAGGGAGGATAGAGGACAGACTTTGCCCTGGGTCACCGAGCAGGCTGGTCAGGACTGGAATCAGGTCCCCTGACCCCCTCTTCATCACTTGGTACTCTGACCCTCAGGCCACACAGTCTCCTCCCAGTTTGGGCACGGTCACTCTCCACCCGGAAGAGCGCTGGAATGTCACCCTCTCCCAGTCACGCTGGACTCCCAATGTCACCCTCTCCCAGTCACGCTGGACTCCCGGGATCAACAGCCGGTTGTTGTGCTGAGGTCCCTGGAATACAAAGACTCCACAGCGGGCAGGGCTGGGGTGGGAGAGTGGGCAGCCCAGTCGCAGGCTTGCTGTGACAATCAAAGCTTTCAGAGCAGAGGCGGAGCACCAACAGAGACTGGGCACAAAAGGGCATTCTTGGCTCTGGTACAGGACAGAGCAGCCAGACAATTCCTGGGGGAGGCACCATGAGGTATACTGGGACGGCAAGGGCCAGCTTCTAGGCCCTGTTAGGGTTTAGTTTCCCTTTGGTGAACCAACCCTGGGTTAGAGATTAGAGATAAAGCTAAGAGGGACCATCAAGTCTCATGGTTAGGGGCACAGACCCTGCTGCCTCAGGCCCCAGGCACTTTGAATCTCCAAGCCTCCTTTCTCATCCACAAAATAGGGAGGCAAGTATAGTCAGCCTTCTGAGGGTGTCAGGGGTTTGAACCCCTGAAAGTGCTCATGAAATGCTGGACATACGGTAGGTCCCAGTAACTCAGACATCTCTGCATATGGGGAACAGATCCCTCAGGGTGCCACTTCATACTGTCACAGAGGAAGCTCAGTCCCCAGCGGTGCTAAGGCCCACTGCTTGCCCAAAGGACCTCCTGCCAGAGCAGTAGCCCCTAGTATGAGCCTCCTGGAGCTTACATGAGACACTTGCAGTTCTGAGATCAATATGCCTTATCCAAGGTCCCCCAGCTGACCAAGACGCCAGACCACCAGCCTGACATACACCACATCCCAAGCTAAGAAGCCTAGGCTCAGGTGTGGCTGCCTCTTCCTGAGATGCACACTCCTTAAAGTGAGGTGAGGACAGAGTTCGACTTGAGAGCCTGGAGGACCTCCCCTCCCCCACACCTCTGATGATGACCAGCAGCAGCATGGACCCTAGGAGGAAAGGGAAGCCACGGACTTCTACAAGAGGCTCTGAGGTCACCAGCACACAGCCCTTCGTGGGTCTGGCACTGGCATCTGCCTGTTAGCCACAGTGCGTAGGCAGAACAAGGAGCAACCAAATCTTAGTCTGACCTCCCATCTAACCTTGCCTGCCTATTCCTCTGGGCGATGCGGTGACAGGCCAGCTGGCTGGGGTGGGGTGGGGATGAATAAGAAACAGGACACCAGGGCGAGGTCTGTCTGCCACCCTGAGGGGGCAAGGGAATGAGCTCACAGCCCTGAATGATGCACTTCAGGGCTTCATTGGTTGAGCTAGGCATGTGGGTGACACCAGGGTTAGGGACTTGTCTAGGCCATGAGGATGGAAATGTGATGTGAACCGCTTCTTTCCACTCTCCAGGCACTGGGGACACAGAGCTGACTCATCATGGCCCGCCCTCCCTAGATCTCCATGGAGTCCCTTCCCTCAGGGCAGGCCATGGGGTAGATGAGGGCAGGAGGCACAGTGACCAGGGTAGGCTGGTAGCCTGTGGGGTCTTCTATCTATCTATCTATCTATCTATCTATCTATCTATCTATCTATCTATCTATCTAATGCATTCTCCCTCCCCTGGTAAGTCTTGTTAGTATCTGAGGTATGTGCTGGCCCCATCAAGACAGACCAACAGACCAGGAAACCCCATATACCCATATGAGGACCATCTTTCCATCCAGGAAGCTGTACTACCCCTGTTAGTGGGGAAGGACCTGCAGGGAACCTCCCTGACCAGACAGGGGGAGGAGATAGTCCCGGGCCGGCCAGCTCAATGAGATGGTTCTTGGAGTTGTTTTGGCTGCTGCAAACCTGCACTGCTCCTGGAATTGTGGGTGTGATATGTTTCCTGGGAACATGAACAGGATACCGAGGTGGCCCCTAGGCTATGGCCATTGAAAAGGGGTGGGGAAAGTCATAAATTCCCATGATTTACTCAGGTGGTGCAGTTTCCAAGTCATAAAGTGCTTGTGAGTGTCCCCGGCTCTCATCATGCATGGTTCAAGAGAGTCAGAGTCAATCAGAGCGGGGACAGGGCACCGAAGAGGGAGCTCTAGCTTCTGTAGCTGCTCCCAGAGGACAGCCACACCACTGTCACTACATCCAGCTTTCAACCAGGTCACACCAAGAGGAGCAACTTCAGCCAGCAGGCTACCTTTCATCAGGGCTGGCACATACCACGGAGGGGCACATGACCCGGAGCAAGCAAACATCAGAGGCCACGTGACTTTCAAAGTGTGTTAAACCACCAGATAAAGTCATGCAGACCTATCCTTTCCAGAATTTTCCTTTAGATCTAGATCTCTAGCCTTGGATGCCTCTGCCTCACCCCAGAGAAGTCTTGGACTAGTTTAAACGGACGGAGGCATATGGTGCTCCTGTGCAGGGGACAAGTGTGAAGGATTCCAAGAGCATCCCACAGGCTGGCTGCCCGAGGACGATCCAGCCCCTCTAGGGATAAAATTGCTCTGGCCCCTCTGTAGGCTACCCAAAGCTTCTGTCACTTTCTGGACAGCTCCTAAGA